AAAAAGATTCAACAAGATTCTCTTATCCTCGCCTATTTATCCTGGAGAACTGGTGTATTTTTTCTGCAGTTAGATTGAATCTTTAGGTGATTTATAGTTGGTTTGCAGTGGAAAACCTCTGCAGATAAACACCATAAACAACATTGGGGCAAGCTGATCAATGTAAATTGGTCTCCAAACGGTGCCGGTGACCTCCGCGTGTCCTTCAGGAGAGAGAGGAGGGCTTAGGCCTGCTGTTGGTGGATTTTTCACACAAATCCCCACCATCACAGAACTTGGCCTCCCTTCTACTGGCGGTGCATGTAAACAGTGAAAGTGTCGCACCTCGGGCCCGTCATTGGCTGCAATTACACAGACTCGGTTTTCATGAATGGTCGCAGTGCAGTTTGAGGCAAGCAGAGATTGCATGAGCTCGTTTCGGGGGCCAGAACTGAAACAACCGCTGGGTGAATGACAAGGTCAAGACCCTGCCGTTACGTTTCGAGAGGTGCTGTGAGAACGCTTGTGTGCATTGAAAAAAAGGACAGCGACATTAAAGGAATAGTTCAGGCAAATGAAATTCTGTCTTTTTTTTTTTCCACTGTCATTTTGGGTTCTCTATGGAACACAAAAGGAGACGTTTTTACATTTTGCATTTTGTATGCATTATGCATTAAACTTTTATCCAAAGTGACTTCCCAGAAATTTAAATTTGCGGAAAATGTCCTCACCCTCAGGCCATCAATGATATACAGGTGCATCTCAATAAAATCAGCATCTTCAAAAAGCTGGTCAGCAGAAGGAAGCATGAAGTCGTGGCCAAATGGTTAGAGAGTCGGACTCGTAAACCAAGGTTGCGGGTTCGAGTCTCGTACCGGCAGGAATTGTAGGTGGGGGGATTGATTTCAAAAACAGTATCATAGCTATTAAACTATTTCTTGTTATGATTTTAAATATGTATTTAACCTCAGAATGATTTTAAAGTAAGTCTGAACTATGCAGCTGGATCATGAACAATGGGCACTGATCCATCCTTGAGTTTTAACTTTTTAACAAAACCTGCCTTGAATTGTTCCTCATTCAGAAAGCTGCCTGGAGTAAAATGATTTGCGCAGCCAGACATAAACAAATTTAGTGAAAGTGAATTGAATTGACATATGGCTAAGTATGGTGTCCCATACTCAGAATTTGTGCTCTGCATTTAACCCATCCAAGTGCACACACACAGCA